GGCGGAAGGGAAAGTAGGCATCCTCTTCACATGGTGGCAGGAGATAGTGAGAGCAAAGGGGGAAGAATCCCCCTTTAAATTATCCCTTGAAAAGGTTTCACTCTGTCACCCCGGCTGGAGTGCAGTGATCCTTTGAGGCTGTCTACAGCCTCAAACTCTCGGGTTCAAGTGATCCTCAGCCTCCCAGTAGTCTTTGCAGACAGCCTGATGGAGTCTCATGGCACAAGAAGATTAATTAAACAATGTCTTCTAATTTTAATAAATTTCTACAATCCAAAACAAAAAAGAATCCTTTATAAAACCATCAGATATTGTGAGAACTCACTCACTTAATCATGAGAAAAGTATGGGAAAAACTGCCCAGATGATCGAATCACCTGTCTCCCTCCACACATGGGGATTACAATTCGAGGTGAGATTTGGGTGGGGACACAGAGCCAAACCATATCGCCAGTTCTTACTATTTTCTCATTCAGTAAGACTCAGTATTCGGTATCAGTCTCTGGAATCTAAGGGTTAGAACCATCTGCTCATGAAAGCCATCAGGGAACAATGCAAAAGATGTGGTGCATTTCAAAGGTGAAGTGAGAACCATGTTGTTTTAATGTGCTTTGCATCTGTGTGTATCAGAGCAACACTAGTGTTCACTAAGCTGTCTGCCTGTGCTGGCCACTATGCTAAGCACTTTAATTGCATCATCTCATTCACTGTACAACACAAATCTATGACACAAGTGTTATTTTATCCTCATTATACAGCTAAAGACATAGAAGATGAGAATATTTTGTGAGCTTATCAAAGTCACACAGATGCAGAACTAAAAGTTTCTACTGTATGTGCTCTCGGATTGCTGCAGTTCAGACAGCAAATCCTTGGCTTGTGAATAATTCTCAGTTCATTGCAGAATACAAGCAAGGTACAGCCTGCTCTTTCTTTCATTAAATAAAAAGTGTGTGTGTCATAATAGGAAGCTGCTCACGGAAGGGACGAAGGCACATTTGTATGTCTCATCAATCTCTCCCCTATTAATTCACTCAGAGCTTTGAATGAAGCAATGAATGGATTCTCTCAGGCCCTCAGTGACTAATTCAGAGTCAGTGCCTGGCAACCAAGGTGTCTTTAAATACTTTTAGAAGGAGGAAAACAAACAAACAAGAAAACCTGACTGAATAACTGATAGATTTATCACCACAGTAACTAGTCTTAGTAATTCTTCTCAGGTAAACTGGTTTATTCAAGCATTCCCCTTGATTTTGATTGACCTCTGAAAAAATAATTGAGATGCTTTTCTGGGTTGGGAGATGGAAAGGTGACAAAGTACTGTAGTACTCAACCCCTTTCAGCTCAAGGAGTATCCTAAGTGAAGCGGATAAAGGTCCTTCCAAGCAGCCTGTCATCATCTTGGACGAAGGCAGCATCTTGCGCATAGGACACTTCCCATCAGCTCTCCCCATTATGGAACTTTTTCTTTTTTCAGAAATTTAGTCCATAAGTTTTGAGGTGATACTAATCAACCTCCTGTGAGAACTTTGCAGCTCTATCTCCTCTATTTGGGTTCCCGAATGGAGAGGACTAGGAGAGCCTGACCCCATTCCCTCTTCCCTTATTTAGTTCCAAAGTCTGCTCCATAAGTACTAAGACGATGCATTCCAATCTTATATGAAGGTTGAGTGTGAATGCAACCTGAGGATGCCTGAATACTGGTTGAAGTGCCCTTTCACTACAGAAGGTAAGACACAAAACAACACTTACACTGATTAGAGAAAGAAATAGAAGCCCAAAGACACCATGAACCAGGAGGGTCCAAGAGAAGACACTCACTGCTTCATAAACCTGTGAACAGACATTCAAAACCTCCCGTCTTCCAAGCAGGCCGCAATCTACTAGCCCTACCGGGTAATTAACAATCCTGGGCTTGGGATGCTAACGGCCCCCGTCTTCAGGGAGGGGCTGACTGGTTGGAGCACATTTTTGCCCATCTGCTGTCTAGCACTAGCTCTGAGTGAATTAATGGGGGAGATTGATGAGACATACAAATGACTGCCAGTATTTTTAATATGACAAGAAGGCATATGGGTAAGGACACAGAGGATATTCCTGTACTCATTTAGATAGGAAATAAAGCCAATATACAATCCACTCAAAAACTCTGAGTCTGCATACTATTAAGTAAGATCTCAAGTCACAGAAAAACTACTATAGTCATAAGTTTCAGTCACTTGGCATGTTTGGGAAAACGAGAATTCCACAGAAGTGATTTTTAGAAACTGCTGCATGCCCTTTTCTTAGAAGTGGCTCCGCACCCACCCAGCTGCAGGGACACCAGGCTCTCCTAAGACTCAAGCACGCTTCCTCTGCACTCCACCGCATATTTTATTGGGCCAGTTCCTCAAGTCTCTGATCTTAAGATCCCAGATTACATGTCAATTCCTCAGATTAAACATTACTAAGACTGAAATCTATACTGCTTTTGTCTATGTATTCGCCATTTAAAAATGTCCCCCGTATGAACTGAATTGCTTATCTAGTGGTCTAATACTTGATTTTTCCGGCCAAGTGTAAACCCGGAGAGCAGAGTCTAAGACTCATTTACTCTTGCTATGATTTGAATGTTGGTGTCCCTCCCAAATTCCAATGCTGGAACCTTATCCCCAGTGTAATGGTCTTAACAAGTGGAGCCTTTACGAGGTGATTAGGTCATAAGGGCTCTGTCCCCAGGAATGGATGAGTGTCTTTTTGCAAGAGACTTGGGGAGCCTATTTATCCCTTCCCTGCCTGAGGACACAGCAGGCATCACTCATGAGGAACAGACCATCTCAAGACACCGATTCTGCTCGTGCCTTGTCTTGGACTTGCAGGTTTAATAACTGTGAGCAATACCTTCCTCCCCTCCCCTCTCCTCCCCTCCTCTCCCCTTCCCTTGCCTCATTCCATTGAGACAGGGTCTGGCTACGTCATTGGGGCTACAGTGCAGGGGAGCGATCTCGGCCCACTGCAACCTCCACTGCCTGGGCTCAAGCGATTCTCCCACATCAGCCTCCCAAAAGCTGAAACTGCATGCACACACCACCACAGGGGCTAATTTTTTTGTAGAGATAGGGTTTCACCAATTGCCCAGGCTGGTCTTGAACTCCTGGATTCAAGCGATTTGCCTGTCTCAGACTCCCAAAGTCCTGGGATTATAGATGTGAGCCACCACGCCGAGCCAATTTCTATTGTTTATAAGTTACCTAAAGGTATTATGTGATGGTAGTCTCAAAGGACTAAGACAATCCCACATTTCCAATGGGTGGCAAATTGCTCTGATGAATATTTGCTGACTGTTGCCTAAGTATGCCCTTGACCATTTTCCTTCGAGACTTAACTGATTCCCATGTGCCCCATCTTGCCCTCTGCTTCCAATACATCTTCCAGATTAAAGCCAATGTGGTCCTGCTAAAACAAATCTTATAATAACATTACTGATTCTACTAATGTCTCTGGTAATTGATGGAAATGTAACAAAACACCCTAAACTGAGTAGTCTACACCAAGAGCAGTTTGGGCAGGGCGTAATCGAATACACTCAGGATTCCCTTCCCTGGGTAGCTCCCAATTCTGTCGATGTAAATTGGCCAAGTCTCGCAACTCCTTTGTATATACTTCATTTTCTCCTGGGTCACACTTTTTTCCTGTTTCTCTGGGAAATGCCTGGACTTGAATCTGGTTATAGGTTTAAAACTACAGTTCCCAGCCTGTGCATCAACCTGCCCCAGGGTACCACAATAGCTTTACAAGGGTTCTACAGGATATTTTAAGGAAAATACAGAGATAGTCAATGTTTGTCAGACTCCATGGGAACGACTCGCTTGGTGTACGTCCAGTTTCAGCATGAGATCATGCTGCAGCCTCCCATGGTGTCCCGTGTTTCTAGATTGAGATTTTAGGTGTGCACGTGCCATTAGCAAATATTTGTGGTTGCTTAAGAATGAAATACAATTATTTTTTCTTTTGGTTTATGTGTAGTATTCTTTCAAGTAATAACAAAATAAAAAGAAATAAATGAATAAATCAATAAATATTGAGGGGTAAACTTCATCAACAGAATTATTGGGTATTTCATTTGGCCCAGGGCACTGCAGAACATTAGAGATGCTAAGGTAGCCATCAGTTGAGGAAATCTGGAAATTTCTGGACTAGAAGCAATGAGATTTGGTGAGAGAAGGCCCAAAGAATGATCCTAAGACTCTCCTTAGGTGATTACTTCAGAGAATGCTATTCCAGCTTTCTCAGGCAAGGGCTGGCTAACGTCCTCAGACAGGAGAAAAGGCTGTTTCTGTGGGCAGAAGAGGCTCAGCAGAATGTTTGAGGTCCTCAGTTCATAGGGACCTTCCCACCTGCTCCCATCCTTAGCTGTACTGATCCAATTTTCATGGCAATCTGGCCACCCACTAGATTAGACTTCAGGTTCAGCTTATAGAAATCTCAGTCCTGTAGCTAGAGATCAGATTGCTTTTAGGGCAATCTCATAGCTTTCCGGTACATTTTGGACCTAGAATTGAGATTTTTAAATCCATGCAATTTTACCTGTTTTTTTTTTTCCTCCAAGATCTCTAGGATGTTTGCAAGCAGCCAATTAATTCCATTCTACTTATTTTTGGTGAAATTCACTATGATGGAGTTGGTTTCCAAAGGCACATGTTGACTGGTGCTCACAGGTGAAAATTTAATCAAGAGCTTTGTCACTGCTTGGGAAGGGCCCTCAGTGCCTCCTGTGCCCCTGCAACATGGTCACTGATGCCCTTTAACCTCATCAGAGTATCCAAAGAATTCATTTCACTTTCTTATCCTTAAAGTTATGTTGCCCTAGAGCTACTCTTAGTATCACCAACTATATTAATGGAAGCAGAATAGAATTATAAAATATTCTGCATTAATAAATTAGATCATAAAAATTGTGGTAAAAACTGAAAAGTAAAGTTCTAATAAGGAAAATGTGAAAAACAAAACAAGTCACTCACCAGCTCAGGAGAATGTGAATGAGTTGGAGCTTGGGGGAAGCTCAGAGCTGGACCTGCCTAGATGCTGGAGTAGAACCTGAAGGGTCAGACATGGTCGTCTGTGGGAATTTGTTGGGTGTCAGCAACTATCGCCTGCCTCTGGGTTTACGGCAAAGCTTCTGGTGATCAGCCGGGATTGCTACAGAGTCAATAGTCGAAAAGAACAGGGCACGCAGAGCAGAAAAGAAAAATGAAAAGCCTTCTGTCTCATTGCCTGTCACTGCCTGCCACGAATGATGACCTTCAGAGTGTGATGCAGATACTTCACTTCCATCTCCCAACCTAGCACAACTTAGTGGCCCAAAAGGACAAGCACAACCCAGAAATACAGAAAGAAGAGGATTCCAGGGACTTCAGTTTCCAGTTAGTCAATTTGCCAATGGAGCCATCAGTTTGCACACGCACCCATTTGTCACCGTTATCTGCTAACTCCTCTGTGGGCATCTTTCACCACTGTTCTCTCTGGTCCTATTTAACTACTCACAACTTTGAAAAAGAAACCGATTTCTCAGTTTCCTCTGGGCTTCTTTATCTACCACCCCCCAGTTGCCATATATTGCTTTTGGAACTCATTGACCTCAATATCAGTAACTCTTCTCCATAAAAACCTTCCCAAGCTCTCGAATAAAGGTTAAACACTGCTCCTCCTCCATCTGTAGCACCGTGTTATTTCTGTCACGGTGTTTTCCTCACTCTCTTAAAGGTGTCTAATTCTTTGTTTACCCAGTTATATATAAACTCCTTTCGACTAAGGATTCTAGTTAATATAGTGTAAATACCTAGTGTAAATCTTGGCCTATAATAAATCCTAAACTAATTTTTCTTGTTGGAATAGAAAGAAAAAGGGGAAGAAAGAACAAAGGACTGGAGGAAAAGAAGAGAGGAAGGAAAGAGGAAAAGGAGAAAATCAATTAGAAAGGGCTGACTTTGAGAATCTACTATTTTCCATAGCTCTCTCCCGGCGCTTATCCTTTATAGGTCAATGAACCCTCAGGGCCCATCCAAGGTAACGCTTTGTCTTCTACCCTCTGGCATTCACTATTTACGTCACTGTAGGTAATTACTTTTTCCAGCTGGAACCAATCTTTTGACCCTATGATTATAAGGAAAAAATCTTAAGTTTAGTTTCTTTTAATAATTGCTATTTTTATAGTTTTAGATGGTACAAGTGCAGATGTGTGACATGTATATATTGTGTAGAGGTGAGGTCTGGGCTGTTAGTGTACCCACTACACAAATAGTAAACATTGTACCCATTAGGTAATTTTTCAAACTTCACCCCCTCCCCACCCTCCCACCTTTCGTAGTCAGCAAGGTCTGCTCTCCCCCTCCCTACGTCCATGTGTACCTGTTGTTCAGCTCCCACTTATGAGTGGGAATATGCAGTATTTGACTTTCTGAGTTATTTCACTTAGCATAATAGCCTCCAGATCCATCCAGGGTGCTGCAAAATACATGATTTCATTGTTTTTAATGGCTGAGTAGCATTCCGTATATTCTATGTATATATGTGTATATAAACATATATACATCTATATAGTACATGCATACACTATATATACTATACTTGACATATATGATATAGACATATATATTACATATAGTATGTATGTAGTATATACATATACTGTATATACTAACTCCTCAATGGGCCTCATATATATGTATGTATAGGTAGATATACTGTATAGATATGTATATGTATATACATGTACTATACATCCACAGTATATGTATATACTACATACATGTATATATAATATGTATATACACAGTATATGTATATATGTATATAGTCTATATACACAGTATATGTATATACTACATACATACATAGTATAATGTATATGTGTAATTTATATATGTATAATACAGTATATATGTACTGTGTATATACATACATGTAGCATATCATAAATGCTATATATATGGTAGTACTTATATAGGTAATGTGTATGTATGTGTTTGTGTGTGTGTGTAGTATACCATAATACTTTTATAGTGTATATATATATGTGGTGTATATATATACACACACTATATATAGTATAGTATTATGGTGTATATGCAACACTACACACATGAATGAAATACACACACACACACACACACACATTTTCTTTATCTAATTCTCCATTGATGGACACTTAGGTTAATTCCATATCTTACTATTGCAAATAGTGCTGTGATAAACATATGAGTGGAGGTATCTTTTTGATATAATGACTTATTTCCCACTGGGTATATGCCTAGTAGTGGGATTGCTGAATAGAATGGTAGTTCTCTTTTCAGCTCTTTGAGAAATTTTCATAGGGTTTTTCATAAAAATTATACTAATTTACATTTCCACCAACAGTGTATAAGCATTCCATTTTCTCTGCATCTTCACCAACGACTGCTGTTTTTTGACATTTTAATAATAGCAATTCTGACTGATGTAAGATGGTATCTCATTGTGGCTTTAATTTGCATTTCTTTGATGATTAGTGATGTTGAACACTTTTTCGTGTTTGTTGACCACTTGTTTGTCTTCTTTTAAAAATATCTGTTTATGACTTTTGAAAAAAAAAAAAAAAAAAAAAAAAAAAAAAAAAAAAAAAAAAAAAAAAAAAAAAAAAAAAAAATTAAATTAAAAAAAATAAAAAAAAAAATAAATAAAAATATCTGTTTATGACTTTTGCCATTTTTTAATGGGATTTTTTGTTTGTTGTTGTTGTTGAGTTGTTTGAGTTCCCTGTAGACTCTACATATTATCCCTTTTTCAGATGCATAGTTTTCAAATACTTTTTTTCCCATCTATAGGCTATCTGTTTACTAGGTTGTTTATTTTGCTCTGCAGAAGCTTTTTAGTTTAATTATGTCTTATTTGTCGGCTTTTGTTGTATTTGTTTTCGAGGACTTGTTCATAAATTACTTGCCCAGGCCAAAGTCCAGAAGAGTTTTTCCTAGTTTTTTTTCTGGGATTGTTATAGTTTCAGGTCTTACACTTAAATCTTTTAATTCATCTTGAATTAATTTTTATATTTGGTGAGAAATAAAGAGTCCAGTTTCATTCTTCTGCATATGACTCTCTCATTTTTCCAGTACCATTTATTGAGTAGGGTGTCCTTTCTCCAGTGTATATTTTTGTTGACTTTGTCTAAGATCAGTTGGTCGTGGGCCTGTGTCTTTTTTTCTGGGCTCTGTATTCTATATAATTGATCTATGTGTCTATTTTTATACCAATATCATGATATTTCCTTTGCTATAGCCTTGTAATATAACTTGAAATCAGGTAATGTGATGACTCCAACTTTTTTTCTTTTGATTAGAATTTCTTTGTCTATTCAGGTTTGACTTGTTTGATGTCACAAAATTAAGAAGAGATAAAGTCACTTTGTTTTGTTTTTTCAGTTCTGCCATTTGTCTGCAAGCTGACTTGCAGTCTTTAGGATTTAAAAGGAAATTGCATCCAGGTAATGTCTTAAACAAGTGATTCACCACATAACAGAATTACTAACAAAAACCATATGATAATTTCAATAGATGCAGAAAACTCATTTGATAAAGTTCAGCATCTTTTCATGGTAAATCCCCCATCAAACTTGGTATCAAAGAAACATACCTAAAATATGAAAAGCATATAAGAAGCTATATAATTGATCTATGTGTCTATTTTTATACCAATATCATGATATTTTCATTTGCTATAGCCTTGTAATATAACTTGAAATCAGGTAATGTGATGACTCCAACTGAGCTTCCATTTATGACATTCAATGATGGCAATGGCTCCCATTTACTGAGTGTTGCTGAATGCTTCATGTGCATTATTTGACTTAGTCTTTTCAACAGCCGTGTTAGGTAACTATTATTATCACCATTTGCATAGTGTCAAGAATGTTACATCACTGTCTAAGGTCACACATCAACCTAGAGGAAAATCCAAAATTCTATTCTAAAGATCATCTATTAGGCCCTATGCTACATAATTTATTATTGAAGGGAATGCTCCATATCTACCCTGCTTATGACACAGGACCAACCCAACTAATACAGGTGAGTGCTGTTTGTAAACCACTAACTATAAACTATAAAATGTGAAGATTTTATTGGAATAGTACTTTGCCTTCTGAGACAGTTGCTATACAAAATAAATTTCTGACAGTTTTCCAAGCTTGTACAATTTTTGATGTTGGTTTTGATTTTATTATTTTTGTCTTTTCCTTTTGTAAGGTAGTCAGCTATATTTGCTTTTTGTTCTCAGTATTTCTATTTCTAGGTGCCCTTGTCACAACCTGCAGAACTTAATCTTTTGTGGGTGGAAAACTAGATAGTCAAAAGAAGTGCCGAGTAGATTTAAATGTGGAAAATATGAATTATGAAATACGGGTTACATGGGATTTGGAATATGAATTTTGAGTATAAAATATACTTTTACCCCATTTTAACAAAATCTATGTCCAGTTTCTCAAGAGTTGAGGTCAAAAGGACCACTTGCTTTTGAACAAATACGATTTAATTATATGGTAAAGCCAATGACCTATTAGTGACAAAATATCCCATGCAAATGTTTAGCATTAAAAATACTTTTACCAACAGACAACATAAAAACGACTGTGACTAATGTAAACTAGCATCAATATCTTGATTTTATCCTAAAAAAACAAAACAATATGAAAATCGCAGAAGGGGTACATTTTTTTCCCGTTAGCAATTTATGAGAAAACTGGAAATATAGATTATGAAGATTTTTGGAAAAAAGATAACTTCATTAAAATACTGCATAAACCAAAATGAAAATGAGAAGCCACAATTTCATTTCTGCAACTCCAGTTTTATGTCCGCCTTTAATTTGGGGAATCCAATTGCACGTAGGGAGAATTATACTATAATTTACTAAATGTGGCCATAATTTTCTTTCATTTTTGAGAGTACAATTGGCTTGCTTAGCCCACAATTACTTTAGTGTCCAATTGCCTACACAATTAATTGCAAATGTAAAATGTTACTGGGTAGAGGCTCTGGGAAATGTGTTCCTGATGCCTGCCAATGCCAATAGTTGCCCGATGAGGACCAAAAAATTCACTTTGAAGGACAGAGCTGGCTCTGCATACTGACAGAGACTAATATTATTAAAATTGCCTTTGAACATAGATTGCAAGCAAGACATTGGCAAAAATCAAAGTGTAATTAAGAGATTTAAATGTAGATTTCAAAGGAGACTTGTTGTTAGGGCTTTTTAGCCAGTGGAGGAAGGATTAGCAGAGACAGCAAGCAAAACAGATGTAAAAGATTCTTCTTTAATGAAGTGTTTCTGTGAGTTCGTCTCCAGAGTGTTGGGAAGCAACCAATAGGAACATTTTGACATTTTGACATTTCAACCAGCAGCTGGAAGAGAAGCCTCTGCTAGTTTTCAGCACCTTCCATCGCACACCACAGGGTGTCAGAGAGGCTTTCACAGCAAAGGTGAGAGGTATTACATGCAATGGACCAGGCTAGACTTCACCATTTGAAAAAGTCCTGAGAATTGATAGCTTCTCACCCAGGTATGGTTGTTCATTTGCAATACCTCCAGAGTTTCTACTGTGTATATAAAGAAAAGAAAGAAAAAGCAGATTGCAAATACCTTTTATGTTCCTAGAGAGAGGACTGCATTTTGAACTGCATTTTGGGACCAGTTTAAATAATACATTTCTATTCGTGGATGTGAAAATAGGTTCAGAATTCAAAGAGGTTGCTGACCTATGATTTGGTGATATCATGATAAAATACAAATTACATTTTATTAGATAAAAGCAGCTTTAGCCTTTCTTCTACTTCAAGGCTATGGAAGAAAAAAAAAAAGTAAAACCGTACAATCTGCCATCTCATTCTCTCTGTGAACATTTTTCTCTTCCCAGTGCAATCGAAACACACATATGGTGCCCAGAATTAACATCATAAAAGGGATCCCATTGCTCTGCAGAGAAGACAGTAGTGAGTCATATTCTGAATCCATTTGCACAATTTAGGAATTCAATAGTTAAGGTCAACATACATATGTGAATTTTCATCTCTCACTCCCTCTCTCTCTAACCATGATTTCACACTCCAGTCACAATCCAACACTACACATTCATTCTTGTTTTTCTTCCTTTCATATTTGCAATTCTTTTCTCCAGTGGTGAGAAAACCAACTCCTATTTTTTTATCTGATCAATTTCCCCTTATGCAAACAATGTCTTCTCACCTACAGGCACACCCCTATGTAAGAGCCCTCCTTACCCATCTACCCTAGCACATGAGTGTCGTGCTCACTCTCCTTGGGCTTCTATCCTCTGCACCAGCTGTTTGTTTGGCTCTACATCCTCCTCACTCCCTTCTGATTCTGAGACGCCCCCTGCAGGAAATCTTAGCATGGATGCCCT